AGACACGCCGCTGGCACTAGAGGCACAGCATGGCCGCGTAGTGACGGCCCCGACCACTGCCGCTCGACCTGACCGGAGAAAACCATAGCAGGAAGCTAGCGAAGTCGTAGTATATATCGTCAAATAGAACCGCCCGGTAAACCGTAGGCAGAGAGGGATATATATATATATCGTCATATATATATATATATGACGATATATATATATGAAAAAGGAGACCACACAATCGCATTTTCCCCCCTTTGAGACCAAGATTTCGCGTCAAGTTCCGCGTCAACCAATGCCCTTGGGCAGATTTGCAGGGTTATGCAAAGAAAACAAACTGGACGCTCACCGCCTGGACATTGACCCCAATGCAATACACATTGCCACCATAATAATAATAATAATAATGGGCACCTAGAAGTTTGAAGCGCAGTGAGATTTCGTTACTGTACCTTCTTCTCGTGATGCGGCCATTTCTTTCACCATTGTGGTTGCAGCAGAGGCAGCCGCAGCTGCAGCAGTGGCTGCCTCCTCGATTGGATTCGGTTTGTTTGTGTTTCGACGGTTCTGCTCAGAATCTCCATCTTCATCATTATCACCCTCTTCAGAAACAACTTGTCGAATCCACGACTTCACGTGGGGTAGGACGTAACTCTGCAGTCAAAGCAGGATAGGAAGCAAACCCGGAAATCAGACCAACCATCCCGTGGTCGTCAACCCAAAAAAACCCTGTTGTAGGGTGAGAAAACATGAACCCGAACCATTACGTGCGTTGAGAACGTTTACACTCTCAGACTGGCCCTCTGGCCTGGCTCCACAGCACTCTGGGTAGGGCTGAGACCATCGACCATCAACTCATCCAAGGTTGTGGGCAGGCAGATTCTGAAGGTAACACCAAAGTCCAATTTTCACGAACTCATCGACATACAGCCATGCTAGGGACCTACCAGACTATTTTACTAACCGGCAGAATTAAAAAAAAAAAAAAAAGGAAAAAAAGAACGACAGGGAGAACAGCCTGCCTTGATGTTTGCCCCCGGGTTCCCTTTAGGCACGGAGTGCAACAATCTAACGCCGAGCGTCGCGCTGGCTGGGCTTACGGCATACACAGTTGGGAGGAGGGGGTCGCTGAACGACTATTGGGTACCATTGGGAGTCTCCCGGCTTGGGAGTCTCCCGGCTTGGAATGCCCCCGCTCTGCCCTGGGTGTGTCGTGGGAGTGTGATTAAAGCAGTGGCCGCAAGGGTAGGGCCTGCCTATACCTCAGCCTGCACAACCTGAAAAAAAAAAGAAAAAGGAAAAAGAATAACTGAGTCTATATCAAGCAACTTTTCAGAAATTGACCGTAGAATTCTGGCATTATATATAGTCCGTGAAGCTCGGCATGAACTCTAGCACAAGCCTCACATTCAGCGTGATGACACACAGGGTAGGGGTGAGATCATCGACCCATCCGTACATGTGAGGTAGGCTATGGTTGTTGGTCGTATGGTTGTGGACAGGCAAAAGGTAGTAGAGTGAAAGTCCCATTTTTCACAGCCTCACCAGCATACACCCACTCCACGGATCAGCCATACCATTCGATTCCCCTGCAGAATTCTAGACACACGGGACCAATGGCGTACATTCAGGGGTAGGAGAGGCCCTACACCCCCTGAGGAGATGATCGCGAAGCACATGATAATGATTCCCACCCAAATATGGTAATCGCACGTCACTTCACTCCTGTTTAGCCCAACACAAAAGTAAGAGTCCAATATAACTTCACCAATAGACTGGTCAGCTAGGCTACCAGCCGGGCGGCCCGGCCGTGCAAGGACCAGGGAAGGTCCCAGCAAAAAAACAAAAAACAAACAAACAAAAAAAACTGTCTTGCTCACTCGTGCAGAAAAATAAACTGAACAACCTTTGCCTGAGGGTCACATCGATATTCGTTACCAGATTCCAAATGGAAAATAAAATTGAAAAATAAATTTAAATAATTGATTATAATTCTTTTTTTCTTTTTTTCTTTTTCTGTCCCGGCCGGGCAAGTGGTCCTGGGCCACTCTGGTAGCCTACCTGGCCAGACAAAATTCATGAATCCCACGTCACTGCGCTCATGTTTATTCCAACACAAGAGTGTACGATATTGTCTCAAAACTCATGATGTCCTATGCAAAGTCCACCAATAGACAGGCCAAGCAGATATTCTCTCAAAGAGTTATACTCTCCCGACTATCGTGTACCAGTGCGCACAACCATACAGGGAGACAGGAGAGGTGGTCAGTACAGCAGCTGTACGCTCCTCTCAAATAACACACTAGGATGTATCTCTTTAAATTGCAGACCTGCCATGAAGATCCAAGGCTGCATCCTCCCTGATGAGGAAGATGAACCAATTGCAGGATTGATTGAATATCACCTTGGCAAGGACCATATCCCCATGTGCATTCAGTCGAGAGGGAATAGCCAACGAACCTTCGTTGTGAGAGCGAACAAAATAAATAAAAAGTGAGCTAATAGTCTAATAGTCTAATACATAATACAGATCAACCAGGAAAACCGCATGAGTCATAAGTTCCATAACCACTCCGGAAAAAGAGGGGGTTTTGCTTCCCTCCCCACAAAGAGAGGAAGAAGAACCAAGTCCAGGATTGAATATCACCTTGGCAATCACCAAATCCCATGTGCATTCAGTTGAGTGGGAAGTGCCCACATGGTAACAAACAAAAGAAATGAACGTGAACTAGCAAATGGCATCTAGCTCAGTTGGTGGAGCACAGGTGAGAAATGCGCATCACCGTATGAGGTTGTGGGTTCAGATCATACTTGCAAGCGCACATCATGCAGGCGGTTTCCGACGTGACCGATCCCGTGCGGCGCACGGCATGTGCGGGGAACGACCCGTCAACCCCCTCCAAAAAAAAAAAAAGAAGGCTGGGGGTCGAAACGGTGCGTTCGAGGCCCCCCGCCAAAATTATAATTGGGATGAAAAAAAAGTTTGCAGGGGTGCTCCCTCACCTTGCTCTTCCTCCTCTTCCTCGTCCTCCATGTCTCCTCCTCCCTTCTCCTGTTCGTCGTCCTCCTCCTGTTCGTCCTCCTCCTGCCCTTCCTCATCCTCCTTGTCTCCTCCTCGTACTTCCTCATCTTCCATGCCTCCTCGTCTCCTTCCCTTCCTCATGTCCTCCCCTTCCTCGAGTCCTTCCCTTCCTCGAGTCCTCCCCTTCCTCACCATCCACGTGTCCTCCTCCTCCTGCCCTTCCTCTTTTCCCTCCGTCCATCTCTTCTCCTCCCCCATCTCTACTTCTCCTCCTCCTCCTCGTCGTCCTCCTCGTCCACATCCTCCTCCTCCTCTCCATATCCCCCTCCTCTCGCTATATTCCCCTCCACTGTTACATGCCCAGTCGGGCACTGAGAGTTCAGCCAAGGATCCGCATTGTGATGAAAAGGACTGAATGGACAGTGGACTGCTAACGTAATATCAACAGAYAGTGTACATCCYRRTACATGAACARTGRCATTTAATAGCACAGCGGAAGACTTGGAGATAAGTCCTGACCTGACCTGGACTGTTACGACATCCCATCATACATCACACATGTGAGAGGGAGGGAAGGRACCGCATACATAGACGAAGGTCCCTCCTGCATACACGCACATGGGGAGATACCACGGATGAGAGATGGAGGGGGGAAGGAAGGACGAAGATGGAGGCAAGGGAGAAGACTAAGATCGCAATAGCGAAGTTCAAAATAGTCCCTTGCCGAAGTCCAACCAATGTCTGCCCAAGAATGTCGGACCAGATCCTGGGCCAATGCCCGTGACAACCCCTACCTGTAGCCCTGCAAGTAAACCACTCTCACTCTCGTAGGCTGCCGAAGCAGTGAAGTCAGATAGTGAGAGGGTAGGAGAGAGATGGTGGACTGAGAGGAGGAAGAGGAAGAACTCTCTCTCTCTCTCTTCTGGATRTCAGGTACTAACCGGTGATGGTGGCGCTGTGCTGCAGGTACCTCGCTGGCGAGCTGGAGCTATGGCGCCTCAGGTAAGTCACTCGGTGAGTGGCGCTCTGCTGCAGGTTCCTCGAAGACGAAGCTGGAGCTATGGCGCCACAGGTAAGCATCCCTGGCCTCCGCCAGCCTCCTCTCTCCACTACTCTAGTCTACTACTACTAGCGCCCAACGCTGAAGACTACTGCTAACGCTACTCTACTACTGCAGCCGAATCCTGAAGACTACTGCCTCCTGTAGAAGTGCACGTTGAGTGCCTGGGCAGTCTTCTCTCGTCTGTCCCAACCTGTAGGGCGGGCCAGTCTTATATAGTGCTGGCCCGTCCAGCAGGCTACTCTTGCCAATGCCTGCACGTGCTAGCCCTTGAGGAAGCTTCAGGGCAGGTCACTCCTGCCAATGCCCGAATGAGCTTGTATCAGGGCAGGTTGGTCTGACGAGGGCCCGAGAATAGCCCTCAGTTTCAGGCTAAAAAGGCTCAGGCCTTTTTTTAGGCTGAAACGATGCAGGGCCTGTGGGCCCCGGATGTCAGGCTTTTGGGCTGAACCGTCATGGGGCCTGTAGGCCCGGAAATAGCCCTCAGTTTCAGGCTGAAAAGGCTCAGGCCTTTTTTTGGCTGAAACGATGCAGGGCCTGTGGGCCCCGGATGTCAGGCTTTTGGGCTGWACCGTCATGGGGTCTGCAGGCCCAGAAATAACCCTCAGTTTCAGGCTGAAAAGGCTCAGGCCTTTTTTGGCTGAAACGATGCAGGGCCTGTGGGCCCCGGATGTCAGGCTTTTGGGGTGAACCGTCATGGGGTCTGCAGACCCTTATTTCAAGGCCTTGAGCCTGAAATTCAGGATTCCAGCCTGAACGACGCAGGGCCTGGAAAATGGCCCTCCTGTGCAGGCGCAGCATGTAACATCTCGCTATATCCCCCTCTTCCTGTCATATGTACCCCCCCATCCCCCCTCCCAAAAAAGAAAAATAATAACAATAAATTAATAATAATAAAAATAAAAAACCTGCACGATTCTGCACAGGCACCCCCCGCATGGAACTCCGCACAAATGTGCGGCTCTTGCGGTTGCAAGTATGGTTCAGATCTTTGAGCCTGCAATTTCGCGCATGGACACCAAAGGGCGTTGACTGACGCACCATTTGCACACCAGGGTTGCTACATGTTGGGGTGTCGGGACTACAGAGCCTGTGGTGCACAAGCATGGGGAGTGCAGCCGCGGTCGTCTTTAGCGCCGTGTAGTGGTGGAGACAATGGCTGTGGATGATAAGCTTGGTGTGGCGAGGTGTCTCGAGGAGAGGGGCTGAGGGACCTTCTGTGTGCATGGCAATCCACCTAGGGGACGATTTAGGGACCTCCTCTTGAGGCTGAGGGGGGTATCACTGGTTCTCCAGTCTGCCAGTAGCACACAAGAGCTGAAGATGACTTAGTGCGCACGGGTTGTGATTACAGAAGGAACAGTATGATGTACCTGTGAACATGGCTAAAGACTCTTATGGGGCCAATCACCGTGGTCTGGTCCTTGGCCTCTACAACACCCTGGGCTTTAAAAAAAAAAAAGACCCTTATGGGGACCAGTTGAAAATCCTCAACTGAGGCAATGAACCGGTGTGGCCACCCCCGCTCCATTAGGAAGATCTGGTCCTTGTGATTAGCATCGTACGAAGTGAGGTATACGGTCAAAAGGGGTCCCCGCTTGGGGAGATGAAATAGGCATGTAGATGCCACATGGTTCATATAATATATAGGACAACAGGCCCCTAAGACTATGATAAAACTGTCTAGTGGGTCTAGAGTCCACTGTTCACCGAGCCAAGGGTCCTAACCAGTGTAATGATTCCGGAGAGGGTTGCGCCCAAGGGAGTGCGTACAGAGAGTTTGTCTTCGCCTTGGGAAGGACAATCCTCGACTGAGTGAATTGAACAGGGGCCTGAGGCTCACAAAGAAGGGATGAAAGTCCTTAAGGAGTTGTGTGTGGATAGGGAAGGGTGTTAGGGAGTCACTATGACCAGTCTCCCCTACGCTTGCTGTGCCAAAGTAAGTCTGATCCTGCCGCCCTCAACCCCTTTTATTTATTTTCTTTTTTTTTATTCTAACCCCTGCTTGTCTTGTTTCTGTCCAAACCCTCAACCCTAAACCCCAAACCCTAAAACCTAAAGAAGATTAATCTTTTCCATCTGTTCCATGTGAAACATCGGCTGCCGCCTGTCGCTCGTGTATCTTGGATGCTCTTCTAGGCCCAGATTGGAGTTGGTTCCTCATGTACCTGGGTATTCTGCTGGAATACCGACCCCCCTGCAACCCCTTCAAAAAAAAAAAAAAAAAAAAAAAAAGCATATTACACATCAAGTTTTATCAACCAGGAAAACCTCATGAGTGTCATAACCATTCCGGGAAAAGAGGGGGATTTGCTTGCCTCCCCCAAAAAGAGATGGTTTGGCTTTGCGTTGCCAACATTCTTTCTTGCAGGAGGGCTTCTGCTTGCCTCCCCCACAGTCTTTCTCCCACGAACAGACGACTTCCATACATCTCTTTTGGTGCCAGTCACCCTTGGTGACATCAACAACAACAACTTCAGAATTTGAAACCGGCATGGGAAGATTCCTGATTTCTGCCTGTTTTTTTCTGTTTTCTGCAGAAAGCAGTCCTGTAACTGTTATGATTCCTGAGTCCTGCTTTTTTATTGCTTTCATCAACAAAGCATGTTCAGGGTTCCTGCAGCTACAAACAAATCAATGTTCCCGGTACTACATTATGTCTCACCGGAAAGGACAAAGGGGGGAGGGAACGGACGGGCAAGAGACGGACAGACCCTTGTGACGACAGCCGTTCCAGCCCCAGTAGCAGCCAGCACTCCCAGAGCCAAGAGCATCTGTGTCCAATGAAAGCCTCTTGTTGGAGGAGGAACCAGAAGACTCTTCTGCAACAGAGGTGGCGGGTACTTGTGCATGAACAATCCTGACTGTGGATCCTCTGGTGCTTGCGTCATGGCATTCTGCTGTCTGTCATTGAGGTCGTGAGATAGACTTCCCAATGTGGACTTAAGCAATGCGGCCGGTTGTTGCCTGCCCTGGGGAATGGCTTGCGAAGGGCTCTTCCACGGTGTCAAGGTGGAAATCTGACCACCCACTGACTCCGACCGTGCAGACTCCCTGCCTGGCTGTGATGCTACTCCAGATGCTTCGTCCCCCTTCGCCTCCCTCGATGGTGACGAGTCCTGTTACGTCAGCCCAAGACTTGTAGTCAGAGATAAACCCCAACAGACTTCACGGCAGTGAGCAAGTCCTTTAAGGAGGAGCCATCATAAGGGGCTCGGAGAGATGACACAGAGGCTCCGGTGTCCTCAACACAAACCATCTGGCGAGGGAGGCAAGAAAAAGGAGGAGGCTAGAGATAGAGTAGGAATGAGTACAGCTTGCCATGAAGATCACCAGTCAACAGATCAGGATCACAACCACAGATGCAGCAGGACTGAAGCAGTCGTAAGTTAAGGAATCAAAAGTAAGCGATGGTATGTGTGCATGGTGGATGAACGGTACGCAGTACTACGCACACGCTTGTGAGTGTCAATAAACAGATCAGGAGTTCGAATACCATCGGAATGATCAGATAGTACAGCAATGTTGTAGGCTATGCCAACACTTGTTCGTGTTGTAGATGAACAGATCAAGAGTACAAATCCTATCAGGTACAACAATCTTACAGGCTAGTAGTCCACTTTGGGGGTAAAATAGACCACCGTGTGCAGGTGCATCTGGACAACATTTCATCAAATGCACTAGAATTGGCATCTTGATGGCCACATATGACAGACAGTCTTTCCCTGAATCACAGCACCAAAGGTGTTATAGCACACTTTTGCCCTGAAAAATGACATTTCGAAATCACTTCGGCTTTTCAAAATACAGAACACATTGAGTACAATGCCCAGGATAGGGTGCCTGGCAGTCGTCACACATTCGATTATTTAGGACATGGCATGTGGAGGAACATTGCATTCAAAATTTCAAATAGAACCCCAAAAATGAAGGGAACCAACTCAAATTTCAATCCACTCGCTATCATGCAGGTCACCGATGCTCAAACAGAAACACTCAACAGCAGAGAAACGAGATTGATATTAGCTGAAAGTCCCGAATTAGTATTCCCCAAACACATCTTCCAAGTTCATAATACAGACGGCTATGACCCCCATGTAATGAAACCTGCAGATTCTCAGTGGACTGTACAGTAGGCCGAGGGTGAAGCGTGGGCCTCGCCTCGGTCGGGTCCTAGTTTAGGTCAGATT